CTAATTATTTTAATAAAATTTTATAATTTATTTTATTTAAAAAAAAACTTACTTTATATATTACTAAGTTTTTCTAGATTGGCTTATGAGTTTCTTAGTTATATAAGATTTATATAAGAAATTTGTATAATATAAACAAGATTTTATATGTAAATCATATGATATCATATGATTTGTAATATAATTACTAGTAAAAATGATCTATATCACTTTTACTCTTAAATTAAGCTTAGAACCTGTAGTATGTATATATATTATTTATTCTTATACTAAATTTACTAGAGTAGTCTATAACCTAGAACTATATATTATCTAGATACTTATAAACCTCTTTTTCTCAAATAGAACTACTATGTTATATTTTCTATATCTCCTATACTCCTTATAAATAACTTCTAAATTAGTTACTACTTTTTGGGCTTAAGATATTTGTAATCTTATAGCTACTTCTAATTTAGTGATGTTTGAGTAGTTATTCATAGTATCTGAATACAAAATCTGCTTATATATATCATTAAATATAATTTGTATATATGGGAGGCTCCACAGCAAAAGGTAGTGATAGGAAAATCCTATGATCGTGAGAAAATCACAATTTAAAATTATTATGTGATTACTGACAAATTTTTTGATTTTTCTTAAAGAAATGACAGTTACAAAACTTTTTTTTTATACATTTACTTCCTTTTAGTACAGATTATTTTTTCTACACTACTGAAGTATAAAAATACATATTTATTATATAATTCTTTTTAATTAAAATTGTCTAATTTAAAATTGTCATAGCGCATAAAATCTTGGATACGAAATCTCAAATTTCATTTTTTTTTTTTTAAAAAAAAAAAAAAAAGACCCTACTTTAATCATTACTAAAAACTATATATTTAACAATACTAATGGATATTAACCTTGGTTTATTTGTTTTATTTATTTATATTGCCTTTTCCTTATTTATTATAAAAAAATTTGCGATGTAACTTTTTTTTTTTACCACTTACCAGTCACCAGTTTTATACACGAACCCTACTTTAACAATAAACTAATTCATATTAAATATTTATATCTTATTTTAATGAAGACAATTGTTATCAGGTATATAACTATACTGCTTTTTAGCACCAGCGATAATAAAAATTTTTTGAAATAATTTTAATTCATCTTTCTTCCAATTTTGCTTCCAGTTTTGGACAAGTAATATCACGAAAATGTAAATCAACATGGGGAGCAATTTCTTTATACAATTCTTCTTGCCATTTAAAAGTAACTAGCTTAACATTAAGTGTAGAGGATAAATTATTGGCATCAAAAAAAAAAGATCATATTGTAAAAGTTTTGTAGCTTTCTTTAAGATTATTTTTATAAGAAACGATCCCTAGGTATTGCGAAGTAAAATAAATTAATAATAGTTTTGAATATAAGGTAACTTTTTGAATGTTTGAAAATAGGCCTTGAAATCATAATATTGATAACCTTCACCACTCAAATAATGCTGAGCAATATTAAAATTAATCATTATAGAATGGTTAACAATTAAAATTATATCATCTACGGTATTTACTTTGCTTTTTCTATAGAGAATCTTAATCAAACCAAAACAGCCATCACAAATGAATTTAGTATGGCCAGGTATCATGAAGTTTAACTCAATTTCATCATATACACCACGATCAATTAACCATGAATAAAAAACAAAGAATAATTATTCTTGTTTTGACCTACGCAATTGTCGCATGCAACAACTAATTTTTTTTCACCACGATTGTATTTGTTAATTGCATGCCACACCAAACTTAAAGTACAATTTACACCTTTTCCTTGTTTACTATTATCAGGCATTTCAGCTTCATCGATTACATAATTAATTTGTTGTATATTAGGAAAATTACCAGTATTACAAACACCAAATAAATGTGCCTTTAGAGGACTTTTAAAGTATAATGACCCTACTTGCTGCGGTAAATAAGGTACTTGTACGCTCTGAGCCTAGTCATATGCAATATGAGCAATGCTATTAAAAGTTTTTAATGATGCTTAAGATTCGACTCCATTTGTATTGTGTTTGCCATCTTCAATTGCAGTAGTAATATTTTTATTATAGTAATCACATTTTTCTTGTACACGATTTAAATGGGCCAAATAATCTTTTGTAAGTTCTAATTTTTTTTCATATTGTGTAGCATATTGGATATCCATTTTCATCATCTCACAAGTTTCATACAAATCAGACTTCGAAGACATAAATTGAAGTGATAGTATTAAAGCTTTCCAAATGTTAGTAAAAGTTGATTTAGAAATAACACGAACATCTCCATACTTATCCTTATAGGCCTGTGTATAATCACGATATACCGATATATAGTTATAATTTGTGGAAAGAAATATAATAGGCATAGAAATGTCTTTAAAATGTTGTCCAGGTGAGGGCATACCATGCAAATCAGAATAGTTTTTTAAAAATTTAAATACTTCATATGCTACATCATAATTTACTTCAATACGTTTCATATTCTTTGGAATTCTACCTGTATTGCTATGTACACATTCCTCAAGACCATTTTCATATAAATGATGTATAACATTTTCTAAATATTTATGACTAGCTCCTATAAGAGCTAAATATGTATCACAACAAACCTGAATACTATTATTAATTTAAAATCTATTTTAGATATTAAAAAAACTTACCAAATCTCGGTGAATAATATTTTTATCATGCAAATGTT